CCTGCTGAAGTCATTTCAGTTCAGCTTACAGCAGAAAGTGATTCTTTATGATACCAAGAGTTAGAGAACTGAGCTCTGTTTTGTTGGCTTTAAGTATCGGTCGTGTGGCACACTGGCCTCAAGCATCACCCTTCCATCATCGCCTTCATTTTGTACCAGCCGCCTCTGATTTAGGTGTCAGTCAGTCCCGTGTATTTACAAGCAATGTGTTCAGTAGAAAAAGCTGTCTCGAATTATTTTTGCTCCAAGCGGAACCCGTATCCCTCCATTCCCCCCCTCTCGCTGGCTTCTTCTTCTTGTGGTTTCTTAGGACTTTCCCTGGCACAAACACGCAACCCTGAGGCTTTGAGAGATCGTGTGTCAGCGACAGACAAGTCCGCAGTTGCATGAACAAGGAAAAAAGCTTTATTGAGTGTGTACAGAGTGCACGACGGCACCTGCGTGAAGTTAGGGTAACAGGGGAAGGAGGAGCAGAGGAGTGAAGCTGGCTGCTTTCTGTGACACGACCCCGTCGCGCACGGCCTCAGACAACGCTTGGTTCAGCTGGCCGCTCTCTGGAGCCTGGGGCCGAGGGTCTGCAGAGCCCCTTGCCCTGCTAGCGCGTGGTGAGCGCGACCTGCTCCCGGGAGGAGACCACCTTCCCGTCCTGCACCTCCTCAACGATGGTGCGGACCTGACGGGAGGATGTCATGACTGCAAAAGAAAGCGGAGGACAGTTATTCAGGGGGCAGGAGGAGAGAAATTTCTTAACACATTACCAGACATTGCATGTTCTTAAGGGAGGTGTTGGAAATTCCACGAGGTACTGGGAAATGCTGTTTTAAACAACCCTCCCTTGGCTAGGAAGAGAGAAGAGCCAGGCTGATGGGAAAGCTCAAGAAGGCAAAAGGCACCCTCCCACGATGTCTGGTGTCGCTTGATTTTCCCGCTCTGCGTAAAGCCAGAACGCTGGCTGCGCGGTCACAGGTCCCATTTAGGGCGAATCGTTCCTGTGGCAAAGGCGCGCAGGGTGCTGCCCTTCCTGGCAGCTTTCTGCAGCTGGCGGTGTAAAACACACCCCAGCTCTCTCGGCTGCTGCCACTGATGCAGCCAGCGGGGCACGGCACGCCCCGGGAGAGATTTTCACTCCGTCAGTTTGGCAGCTACCATAAAGGCAGGTCTCAGAGCTGCTCGCTAGAAATGCGTGCAGCAAGAGAGGGTCTTACCGTCTCTGCCGGAGTGCGAGGACAGAGCCGAGGAGTACTGGGACGAGATGCTACAAGAGAAGGAGAAAAACAAAGAGAAGTTAGGGACAAACTCATGTGGTTGTTACATAGGCTCTGTATTCAGGCAGGAGGAGAACAGAAAAGTCTCACAGCAGTTGCTAAAACCAGAGCTCCGCTCGGAGCCTGCTGGAGGGCAGCGGGGCCACCGCCCCGTCCAGCAGCGAGAGGTGCCCGCGGCAGAGCCATGGGGCAGCCCCGGCTGGGGAGAACGCAAAGATGAACCCCAAAAGCTGCCACTGCACCCAGTCCCAGACAGCACGGTTGGTGTCTGTCGCCCATCACGTCCCACCGCGCCCTCCCCAGCGAAGCCCCTCTACGTACTGGGCGTCCTCGCCCTCCAGCAGCCGGCGGTACGTGGCGATCTCCTGCTCCAGCCGGCACTTGACGTCCAGGAGCACCCGGTACTCCTGGGTCTGCCG